ATTTTAGTTTATTTTTTTAAGAGGCAATTATTTTGGTTTAATTCAATGAACATAATATTATAACTTGTTTTAATCAGGACTCTATTTGATCTAGTGGCAATGTACACAAATGTGCTCACTGTCACAGTGCATTTAGTAATTTGTTACTTCTCTCAAATATAGAGAAAGGCTTTGAAACTTTTGCTTATCCTTTTGCTTTTGTCATGTCTAATTGTTACTACAAGGTAGCGTGACTCACACGCACACACAAGGGGTTGGCCTATTGGTAAAATTACTGAACTTTGGTGCTAGAAAGCTTTAGATTTGGGGTTCGATTTCCACTAGGAGCGTATAACTACTTGGGGCCACGCTTTCGTTGCCATACACAGTGACTTATCCGGTTCGGGGTGGGGATGCACCCTTCTTGGGTTCTCAGGGATTAGTAAGGTCGAAGTCTCGAATACTCCGAGTTATCCAAATTTTTTTTTTTGGGGTTCATGAACAATTTTTACATTGACAATGTAGAGCTGCTTCAGGTCTTTGATAGTTAACCCTATTGTTCTTAAATAATAATAATAATAATAATTGCCATAAGTAAGGTTATCATAATCAATACTGCCTGTGGCTTTACTTAGAGTATCTCTAATCTTATGGGCAAAGAGATTGGGTAAACCATTAATGAATTTTTCTTTCCAGAATGGTTTATTACTATCATCTCTAAGCATGACTCTGGATAAGAATACATCCTTATACCACCTAAAATCACTCATGGTTGGACAAGTGAGATTGGTAAGTTGGTCGTGTATTCTGGAGGTGATGTTACTTGGATTACCTATGAAATGGTCAACTATTGTGTATACTAATATGTTAACTCCATCAGGGATACCACGCCCTATAGCTTCATCAAAGATAGGAAGACCATTATCATCTCTTTGAACAACATTTTTAATGTTATTGTGAGATTATTCGGTGAGATGTTTTTCCCACCAGGATTTTAACATTCCTGAGAATCTCGAAGTGAGTAAATCAACAATTTCTAGTTGACTTAGATTATGAGTAGTGACATAATTATTGGCAACCATAGAGATATGACTTAATTTATTCAAAATCTCTTGTTCAGATAATCCGTTTATATTCCATTCATAGAGTTTATCTGAAGACACAGAGAACTGATTTTGAATATTCTTTTCCTCAAATTGGAGGTCTGGAGGAGTGGGTCTTGGATACCAGTTTTTGGTAAGACTGGTAGGGTTGACTCTTTTGTTGGTAAGACGATTGAGTTCAAAATTGGAGAAAGCAGTTTTAATTTTCTGAATATCAAAAGGGTAACTGGTATTATTGGAAGAAGAAGAATTATCAGAACTGTCAGGATAATTGATGACAGTGAGAACTTTCTCATCTTTTTCTTCTTTGATTTTAGCTTTACCTTTTTCAAGGAACTTGAGAATGGATTCAATAGGATTGATAACAGAAGGGTCTGGCAAGGCTGGAGGAAGACCTTTTCTGTTTGTGGGCATGGAAATAATGGGTGTCTCCATGGGATGAGGAATAGGAGGCTTAACTATAGGTTTTGGAGTTTGAGTCAGAGAGAGCTCGATCTTGTCAAGTTGGGTACCAATGGTGTATAAATATTGGTTGGTATAATTATTTTGTTCAAGTATTTTTCTGGTATTAGAATCAGCTGAGGTACTGGTTTTTAGGGGAGAAGCGGTGATTTCAGTTCCCATGTGATCAAGAATTACGTTTTCTAAAGGAGGATGGGAAGAGGAAACTGTGGTTGTATCAGAAGTTTTCCAATTAACTTTGGTAAGGACATTGACTTGATTATAACAGTTTTCTAGATAATCGAAGAATTTGATTTCTAGTTGATGCTTTGTCATAAATCTTTGCCAATGACGGAGGACTCATTGTTGCTCTTTGTCAGTATGATTTTTGCGAAAGGATTTTCGCTTTTCTTTGTTACTGGGGGAAGAGTATTCATCATGTAATTTTGAAAGATTATACTTAAAATGTTTACTAATGGTAGTTAACTGAGGGTTTATTTTGTTGAATTCTCCAATGAGATTAGAAGGAGTAGGAGAGGTAGGCTCAAATTTATGTTTAGGAGGAGCATAACATGGGTGAGTAACTTATTCTTCGATTTGAATACCTTTTAACTTGGTGTCCTGTGGTTGTGGACGGAATCTAGAATTTTTTCTTTCTAGAGAAGGAATTTCACTTTCTGTGTTCATTAGATGTGCATCAGATCTAATGGAAGAAGTAAAGGGACGAGATCGAGTCAGAAGGCGTTGTTCATCAAAGCTTATTCTGATTGTTCCGTAAATAAATTCCTGAACTCTATCAAGATTGCTAGTATCATTTTGTATTTTAACTGGATGGTTTTCATTTTTAAGAAACCATTCATTGGGTAAAGAAATATCTTTCTAAGCAATGGATTTCTTGAGTTAAATATTAGCATCTGGAGTGTTACCTTCAATGAGTAAAGTGTGACCTTTAATGTCTTTTTTAATGGCTTTGACATTAAGGTTGGTTTTTCTGGTTTTGTAATAGATCCTGTAGATCAGACCTAAGGGTTGTGATCCAGGGAGCATCTTGTAACCAGAAGTTTTAACATTGAGGGTTAAAGCTTTTAGTAGATGAGGGTCAGTGAGATTGAGAGTAAGATCAGGATAACAATTGAAATAAACTGGACCATTACAGAGACTTGTTTCAACTATTCCCAGAAGACTATCATTATAATCTTGGAATCTAGCATCACGAAGAGCTAAGAGAACTGAGGCGTTAAGATTAATATTAGTGAATGGGTTGATTGCAACTTGGACTAGACCTATGTGTATAAAGTTGTATCCACGATCTTTGTGACTTTTAATTGCTTGAGCTGTGAATAACTGACATTTTTCATGTTCCTTAGACAGTGAATAAATTTGTTCTACGGTTTTGACTGCGTAATCACTTAGAAAGGTTGACTTGAAGAAACTGGTTTTGTAAATTTCTCTGGTTAGAATCCTAGGGATATTCCTATCACTAAAATCTAGACTAACATCTTCAACTCGGTAATCTTCTTCATTAACTATGTTTGGAACTGGAGGAAGACTAGTACTGGCTCTGGATCTGGAGCTCAAAGAGGAGGAAGATATAAATAACCTATTCATGTTCCTTAGACAGTGAATAAAATAGTAATTATTATTATTATTATTACTATTTATTATTTTTTTTTTCCACTTTGGATTTTTGTTTACATGGCAAGTCCATGATATGCATGGCCATAGCATCTAGAAGCCTAGGTTAGTATCTAAAGAATTGACCTGCACATGTTTTATTTTGTTTCAGGGCTGAACTTGTTAAAGGAGGATGGCATTAAGTATCGAATTAGAAAACGAGATTATGAAGAAAAAAAAACTCTTTCTTAATGCTCTGTTTGGTTAATGGAAATAAGTAAGAAAAGAAAAGAAATAGAAAGTGAAAAGAAAAGAGATTTTATAGCATGCATTTAGTTAGCATGAAAATTTATCCAAAAAAATTGTAAAAAAATATTAGTTTGTTAGTTTGGATAGCATGAAAGTGAAAATAAAGTGATTATGCATTCCAAAACTACCCTTATGAAGTAAGATGATAGATTATTAATTCAAATATATAATTGTTTATATTCATTTCTATTTTTTATATTTAGAATAAGGTTTCATAATATTTTCTTAGGTAAAACTAATTATTAGTTTAAGATAAACAAATTTAAAAAAAAATAAAAATAGAAATGAAAACATTTCACCATATAAAAAATATATATATATCCATACGGGATTATGAGTGACTAGAATTGCAACATAAAATAGACGATTAAAAGAAATAAAAAAAATTCTATTTAGAAGTAGATCTATTTTGAGCAATTTTACCCAAATTATCATTGATATTTTATATATATAACTGTATAATTTGCGTTGCGAACTTACTTAAGAATAGAAGTTGTTTTGCAGAGAACTTACCTCATAATAGAAGTTGTTTTGGATAGAACTTTGCATGATTAAGTTATTGAGTAAAATAGGAACTGCAAATACATAGATGCTTCTTTCACGTGAAAATAAAATTTTCGCAAAAAATACTCAATGCGGGAAACTAAATTTTCCATTAGGTTTCTCTTTCTATCTATCCAAACTCTAACTTCCCAAAGGGAGGTCAGGGGTTCAAGTCTCATAAGAGACGTGTGTGAGTACCAACTAGGAAAAAAAAAAAAAAAAACTCTAACAAAATTTTAAAATTTTCTGTTTCCTTTCTTTTCTAGCTGTTTCTACCTAACTAAACAAAGCCTAAGAGATTATTAATTAAGAATGAGTTACAACTAGAAAAGAGGCCTTATCAATAATAATGTTCAAGAAACCATATTTTAAATGGTATATTATAAAGCAATTTAATATTAGACAGCAAACTATGTAATATATTTATTTTGGATCGTGCCACAACCATTCCTCATACAAATAGTCCAATACAATATGGCCGTGCTTCAATCAACACTAACTAAATCTAGTACAATTTATTCTTCAAGAAATTGAGAGGCCTACAATACAGTTGCAGCACTGGAGGGTATGCAAAACTCGAAGTTGTCCCTGCAAGAACTTGAAGTGGCATACACCGAAAATGCAAAAAAATTAGAACAATATAAACAATGTAAGCAATCTGTTTAATCAAAATGTTAAATTGAATAACTAACATTAGTTTACAATGAGAGGAATTAATTTTTTTTTTTTTTGTTGTTGTGTTTGAAGTGTTATAGTTTCATTCAAATATTGGAAAAAGAAATTCAAGGAGTGAAAGTGCAGCTAATTCACAAACATCAAAAAAATATATTTACCTATTAGCTATGAAGCAACCTCCACACTCTGGCCATATTCGCCGCTATTGTCACATAGAAACAATTTGAACTATTATAAAGAGTGTCGTTCAAGTATTGAAAATCTAGCTAATACATAAAAACAAAATTGGAGTGGAAGTGTAGAAAATTCAAAAAAGCCATATGAGATATGTACCTGTTAGTTTTGAGGCCGCCTCCTTAATTTGGTCATTTTCACTGCTATTGTCACATAGATCCAGTCTTTTATGTTGTTCAAGAATTTGAAAAGGACATGTTCCCATGAACGATTGAGCAGTAAAGTGCCAAAGACTCCACCAAATCCAACCCCAAAACCTAGCCCCATGCTGACATAAAATTCTCGGTTTATGAACCCATCCTCATTTCCTTGAATGATATTATCTTTACCGACAGAAGGTTCCAAAGTTGTTTCACCTCTTGGGCACTTATTTGGAAGTGGAAGCTCGCAAAGTTCATCATTTCCAGAATATGCAGAGGCATCAAAGCTCTGCAATTGAGTGCTTGATGGAATTTTCCCAGACAAGTTGTTATTTGACAAATCCAAGACAGCAAGAAAATTTAAACGAGTGATGCCTATAGGAATCTCACCAGAAAGCTGATTTCTAGACAAGTCGAGAGATTCTAGCATTTTCAACTCACCAATATTTTAAATGACATGTCCATTCAATTCATTTCTCGATAAGTTCAAATAATTCAATTATGCAAGACTCGAGATTTCATCAGGAATTTTTCCAACTAATCTATTGCCAGACAGATCAATGCCTCCTATTAGTGCTAAATTATTTTTGTACTCACTCTCTTTCCCTTTCCATAGCACCAATGCATTATCTACATACGCATTAGCATAACCATCAGAACCACTTGTATAAGCAATATAGTCATGAACAATGTTTCCTTCAGATTTATTCCACTGAACCAAAGCAATAAAATTATTGAAGCACGGCGGTATAATCCCATATATATTGTTTTGGGAGAGGTCCAAGATTTGAATAGAGCTGAGATGGCATATTTCTAGAGGTATGTGTCCATGCAACTTATTCAATCGAAGACTAAAAACAATTAAACTTGTTAAGTTTGTCCCTATCCATGATGGTATTTTTCCTGATAATTTATTTTCTCCCATATCAATGATCTTCAAACGACTATAGTTCTTCAATGACGAAGGCAATTCTCCAGTGAAATTGTTATTGCGTAAGTGCAATGTTTAAATTTAATAGAGGAAACCCATGGAGCTAGGAATTTTTCCAGAGAAATTTCTGTTAGCCAAATTAAGGATGACTAATTCATGCATATGCATCCAGCAATCAGGAAGCTCCCCTGATAATCGATTATCTGATAGTCAATAAAGCTGAGAAGCTTATTGGATATGCTGCATAAAAAAGAAACTGACCCAAAAAACATATTTTTAGAGAGATTCAAAGCTGTGATGTTGGGAGGAGATAGTGGCATTTGACATTCAAAACGATTATAGCTCAAATCTATTTCAGGATAAAAAACTGTCTTCAATGACGTCAAATCAGGCACCATGCCATTCATGTGGTTGGAAGAGAGATTTATGTAAGACAGTATAGGAGATAAATTCCAAAACTCCCTAGGGACAATATCTGAAATTCCAGAATTAGAGATATCAAGGTGAGAGTAATTGTTTTGAGTTAGAAGCCAGTTTGGGAAACGAGGGCCCAACAGGCAAGACCGCAAGTTTATGACATCGAGTTGAGAAGGAGGATTCCAATCAGAACTGAAGTCTAAAGATAGGGAGTTATCAGACAAGCCCAAATGCTTCAAGTTGTTGAGATTTGAGAGGTGGGTTTCGGAGATTGTACCTTGTAAAGAATTTGACGAGACGTCCAAAATTTCAAGCATGAAAAGTTGGCCAATATTTTTGGGTAGTGATCCAGTCAATCGATTGTTTGAAAGATCCAACACTCTCAATGAAGATAATCTGGTTAAATCTGGTAAAGATGAAAGTTGATTCCAACCCAAATTCAATGTTTGTAAACTAGTACAGTTCCCAATGGATTTTGGAATCCCACCTTCAAGTTGATTGTAAGAGAGATGAAGATAGGCAAGGGAATTCAAGTTTCGGAAAGAATCAGGGATCAGACCTTGTAAATTGTTTTCAGAAAGGTCTACATGAACAAGACTAGTATTGAAATTGAACAACCAACTGTATATTGAAGAATTGAAATAATTGGAAGAGAGATCAAGGACAGCAAGAGACAATGCAGAAGAATTTGTCAATGGAAGTTGGGGTGAAATGATTCCATGGAGATAACTTTTTACACTCAGTTCATAATTATAGCCCAAATCAAGAGAACGCAATTCGGAAAGATTCCCAAACTGATTAGGAATCGTACCCTCAAAATCATCAACTGAAAGATCGAGGTATTGTAATCTGCTAAAGGAACCAATGAATTCTGGGATATGGCTCCCTGTAAAATTGTTGTTACTGAGGTCCAAATACTTCAAATGCTGCAATTCAAGCAAAGAAGGACTAATCTTACCTCTCAAAGGCTGATAAATGTATGAGGGAACGTGAAGATTGAGCGCCTTCACATGACCAGTGCGGTTGCTACATTGGACTCCTCTCCATTTGCAGCAGTCTTCAGTTGATGAGTTCCCCCAAGAAGAGAGGACGCCATAATCATCAATGAGTCCTTCTTTAAACTGAAGGAGAGCTTGTCTCTCCCTCTCTATGCACCTCACTACTTTACCAACATCTCCAAGAGCTGGTTTCATTTTCAAGCACAATATTACTAAAGAAATGTTTAAACAACATTTCTCCACTCATCATTTTCAGAATCGGCCGGTGAAGATAACCAACTCACAATTGATGACCCCTATTTATACTACTTGCTGAAACATATATACATATATTTTTTTCGCACAAGATTTCAATAGGTCATTCAAAAGAAAAAAATTTCTTACGGTGGACCCACAGAAAGACACCATTCCTATTCCCTGCAATGTCTAATCACCAGACGACGAACATATTTGGTGAAATTTATTACGTTGGACTAACTGAAGATCCACTGCTGCAACGTTAAACCATGTTGGACAAAAAGAAAGGGTTAAGAAATCAGTAGTCAAGTCCACTCAAATTCTTTTTATTTTTATAATGCAATGTGTTTTTTAAAGGCTCAATTTCTTTTGAGACATAAAATATTGGTAGAAATTTCATCAAATTATGACTCTGTTCCCCCCAATGATACGAAAAAGAAAGCAGAAATCAAAATCCACTACCGAGTCATACATGGTCTTTCGTCAAAAAAGAGAGGGCAAATAAACTTTTTTCTAAACTTTTTTTTTTTTTTTAGGCCGAGTTTCTTTCGTGACGTAGTTAGCAAAGTGCTTGTCATCTCACCAGTGTGTCAGATAAGGGTTAGATACGCACAAGCTACTATATGTAGAGAGGTTATTTATTTAATTTTCTTCAAACCGTCGAGACACAACCTTTGCGGAGAGATTACTTTTTTATTTTAATTGGTAATTTTGATATTACAATGGAACAATCTTATCATAATACCATTATACTCAGACATTATAAATCCTTGACGTATAAGGAGGGAAGTAGAAAATTTCATGTCTTATATGTTATTTTCTGTAAGAAGAAAATTACTTATTATTATAATTTGGAAAATATATATATATATATATATATATATATATATATATATATATATTTTATTGTTTATTATTTGTGCTCTCTCCATTTACCCACGAAGTCATGGAAGCACTAAACTATTAATCAGGGTGAAGCATATAACATGTTGCTTGCAACATTAAACAATTTTTAAGAATTTAATAGGACAAGATGTCACTACAATGTCATTGTCATTCTAGAAACCTTACTATTTGCAAGATGATCATACCAATTAAATTTTCTGATTACACCTGAATGTTCTGGCACCATTCTTATATTATATTGCTTTATTTGAATTATTTGATATTGCTTTCTACATATCTTGAGGCTCACGGACATCATAGTTCAGTTGGAATTATACAATCAGAAGCCTTATGATAAAGCACCTGAAATGTTAGCAGTTGCCTCTTCTGCCTTATAGATTCATGATTCTGGACTTGATTTATGTTGTATAGTGTTTGCGGTTAAAAAATAATTCGTACCAACTTTTCTTACCTTGTGCATGGGATGAGCACTGAATTGATTCCTTGGATTAGAAAATTAGAGAAAATTTAGTTCAAAGTTTAAAATGAATTTCCTCCAATTCTAAATTTAAGATGTGAATTTAGTGCTTCCAAATATAGTAATAATTTCTTTCTTATTGATGATTTCAGATTTTAGTATGTGGCTGAGCACATTGAAATTGATTGTTGACTCGAAGGAATCCAAGTTGGTTATAAAAAATATAATAAAAAATTGATGACTGGGGTGTTCGAGGCAAATCCATGGGACCTGTGCAACTGACCCCTCCACATGGATCAAGTAAAGCTCATACTATGTCAGCCGTTATGGTCCCAACGAATCGAATTGTGTGCACCCAATGAGAATTGAACCTGAAACCTGATACTTTCTGATTGATGATTTTAGGTTTTAGTATCTGGCGAAACACACTGAAATTGATTGTTGACCCGAACAAATCCAAGTTGGTTATAAAAAAATAATAAAAATTTGATGACTGGGGTGTCCGAGGCGAATCCATGGGACCCGTGCAACTGACCACTCCACACGGATCGAGTAAAGCTCATACTGTGTCCGTCATCATGGTCCCAACTAATTGTGTGCACCCAGTGAGAATTGAACCTGAGACCTGATGCTTTCTTATTAATGATTTCAGATTTTATTTTTTGGTCAAGCACATTGAAATTGATATTAAAACATAAAAATAAATGTATACCTTACTTTGCTTGAGCTCTTGATATTTATGGCCCTTCCATTTTATCATTCTCTTAAAGGGAAATTTTTTGGATCACGAAACTAATGTTCATATATGAAAGTGTAACATGTTGGGACTCGATTTCCAAGTACAGACATCTGGGAGGTGAGCATTTTCTAGGAGCTGGAAGCTGACCTAATGGTTGTGTTATTGAAGATTATTATGTAATTAATAATTGACTAGGGTTTGCAATGAATAATTAGTTATTAGACTTGCTGAATCAATGCTCTACGTGGAGATTTAAAATGCTAAATCTTGTAGACTTAATACTCCAATTTTTCTTCAATATTGTTTATACTAGGCGCCTAGGCCAATATTGTTTTTCTTCAATTGAGTGTATATGACTATATAAGGCAAATGGTTCCTTCTACAGTTCTACTAAATCTAAGTTATTATGTGATGAAACTCACTTACCCCGTGGAATCTACATCACATGTTGACTTCTTCTTCTTCTTCTTCTTCTTCTTCATTTTAAGCGAGAATTTTCTTTTTTTTTTTTCCTTCTAAATAACTGAATATTGTGTGTGATTTGAATTTTCTCATTTAAATAAGTGAATGTTGTGAGGGATGATGGGGGTGGGAATCGAACACTAGAAAGGATCATAATTTATTTATACATGAAGTAGAGTACCAACAGCCTTCTAGGAGAGATGGTTTAGTGCGCAACCAGTTTTTAAGAGGTATTGAGCTCTAAGACTTGACTACAACATAAATGATCTTAAATTTTTTTTTATTTTTTAATTTTTTTACATGGTCAATTCAAAATGATTATTGGAAAATGTTGTCCGCATCAAATATCAAAAATTCAAATTTAAAATCTGTAATATTTTTGAATTTCGCCATTTTCTATTTTTCTGGAATTTTTCATTCTTGCAAGGGCATTCTCGTCTTTTCTCGTTTTGCGTGCCAGACACCGTGGAGTGTGTTGGTTGTGTCCGAGAGTTGGTTGGGACATTTTATTGAGTCCAAGACTCTTTGAAATGCCAAGGTTGCCATTTCGGCATTTTTCAGTTTTTCGGACCGGATAATCCTGTGTCGGACCTGCTACCCGAATTATTGCATACAGGGATTTTAATTGGGTCCATTGGCATCCCATGCATTTTATTTAATGTAATTTATGTGGGTTTTATATAGTTTGTATAGACATATATTTGTGTGGTGCAAAAAGGAAATTAAAATAAAAAGAAAAAGAAAATCATTTTTGGTGGTGGGACCCACCACCACCATTTAAGGCCAAAGAGGCCATTCACATTTCCCCCCTCGTTTCTCTCTCTCTCTCTCCCATAACTCCTTTTCTCTCCCTCTTCTTCTAGATTTTTCTTTTTCCTTTGGTCTCAAATTTCATTTTTTGATTTATTTTTCAATTCTTGGTATTTTTAAGTGCCGTTTGTAGCAAATTAAAGATCACGGCGAGATCTACAAATTGATTGGAGCAATTCCTTGTTTAGTGCACTCTAGAGAATTCGGGATCTAGGGCGGACTTTTTGCTTAAATTAAGGTAGGGGTTCTTAATTCCCAATTTCTTATTCTCTTGTGAATTTTCTTTAATTATTTGTTATCAAGCATGCTTTATTTGAATTGATTGTCTTGAAAAATGATATAGTTGTTGTATTTGAAGTCTATGCTTATATGTGTTGCTGAAATCATGTGAAAAACATGTTTAGATGTTAATTTCCATGCCTACGGTGTCTATTAATTCTCTAGAAATTGCTATGAAGGAGCATGTTAAATTGTGTAGTGTGAATTTTTTTTATTCTCATATCATTAAAAAAAAAAATAAATAAATAAAAATATGCGACATGGATTCATAGCATTGGGCATGAATGAAAAGGGCAAAGTATTTTGAAATGAAAGTGAAAGGGGATTTTTGGGAAAAGTTTTGATTTAAGTGGTTTTGTGAAAACCTGGCCGCCTAAGAGTTGCCTAGGGACCGTGGGGTTAATGTGACCTAGAGGGAAATAGGGAGACTGCCCTAGCGTGGTTGAGTTAACTGGCTTAAATGACGCCCTGGAGTTGCCTTGTGGTCAGGGACAGTTAACCAATCCTTCTCTGGTGCCGCCATGGAGCTGTCATGGGATGGGTTGCATTAACGGTTTGAAAATGATGGCAAAAATAGTTTTGTAAAATGGGGAGTGACATTGCATGGCATTCCATCCCATTGCACGTCATAATTTAATTATGACTTGGATTGTCGAATTTGTTGCTATGTTTACCCCGGTGTGGTATGATCCCGCTTCTTTATTTTTCTATTCATTGTGTGGATTCACGGGGTCACAAGAGGTGTGTCTTAGACACCACCTACTGAGAAATTTGCTCACCCCTTATATTTAACATTTTTTCAGGACATGGAAGTGAAGTGGCCGACGACGTTCCTCCACAGGGTTCGATGGGTTAGTAGACTATTTTGACATACTTTGTCGCTATGATTTCATTTTATTATTTATTTATTTATTTATTATTATTATTATTATTTTTTATAAACCTTTGAATGACACTTATATTATGTATTGACATAGGAAAGGATGGTATTGCCCTTAGTTGACCTCGGGTTCAAGTAAGGACTCGGTTAGCGATTTCGGATCCTCGGGTTCGGGTCGTTACAAAATTGGTATCAGAGCGATGGTTCGAATACCATTAGGACGACTGGTAGAGGCCTATTTGGAATTACATAGGAAAGCTAAATTGCATGGTTATGTGCTACGTGTTAAAGTGTTTGAATGTTTCTGAAGCATGCTTATTTGCTTACTTACTTACCTGTTTATTTGCTTACGCGATTACATACTTATATGTTATATGTGTGTATCACTGACTTAAATGATATACGAGTAGGTGTTATGTTTTCAG